ATGGCTACTGTTAATTGTCAAATCTGATATGACGTAGAATCATGTAGAAAAAGGTGTGACCCAATTCCAGAGTTCTTACCTAGCATGAAAAGTCCTCTCTTCAATCCCCAGCATCACAGATACATACAGAGACAGACAGACAAATAGAACACCCGTAGATAAGCCTTAATCCTTCCCTCTGAGGAGATATTCAGATTCAGCAAACCTTCTGACTTGTCTGTGAAGGATATCTAGATTACCTTACTTGAGGTGGGAAGATCTGCCCTAGCTGCCAGATGGAACAAGAAAGAAGAAGAACAGCTGAGTCCTAGAATCAACCTCTCTCTGCTTCCTGAGTGCAGAGATGCCTTGTGAACAGCTACCTAAAGTGCCTGCCTCTGTAGACTCCCGGCCATGATAGACTTGCACAGTGGAACTCTCCAAAAGTAACAATTCCTTAAGTTTCTCTGTTAAGGAATATTGTCACAGCCTCAGATAAAAAATAACTAAGGCACTGGTCATCATATAAATGCAGATTAAATCTACAGTGATAGTCAATATTGTGATATAGCATATCATGTCTAGGAACATGCCCAGGGAATCTAAGTCAATGTACTACAGAATTATGTGTGCTTCAGTGTTTACTCTGGTGCTAATTCCAATAGGTAAGTCCTAGAATCAGCCAAGATATTTATCAATAGATAAATGGATCCAGAAGTGTTGCATGTTTACAATGGTATTTATTAAGCTGTAAAGAAATTACATTTAATCCAGCTGTGGTTAATTATGTGGAACTGAATATTGTCACTTGGAATGCAATCAGCCTGATACAGAAAGATAAATGTCACACATTTTCTCTCATTTGGAAACTCTGTTTTATATGTGACCAGAGGGTAGGAGAGATGTGTGATGGTTATATTTGATGGAAAGTAGAAACCTCTACTGAAGAACTGTCCCCATCAGATTGTTCTATGGACAGGTCTGTGGGAGAATTTTCTTAATTGCTGGTTAATGTAGGAGGGCCTCGCCCACTATGGGCGGTATCATCCCTAGGCAGGTGAGAATGGACTATATACAAAATATAGCTAAATATAAGCCTGGAATCAAACAATGCTCCTCCATGAATTTTTCTTCCAGCTCCTCCTCAAGGTACTGCATTGCTTCCCTGGAGGACAAACCATAACCTTCGAGAAAAAAATGGCACCTTTTCTCTCCAAGTTGCTCTTGGTCATGGTGTTTACTACAGCAACAGACACCAAACTGGAATGGCTCTAGTTGGGAAAAGGAAGAGGATGAGTGCAAGGGAGAGAAGAGCTGAAAAGTTAAACATTACACTTTCTGCATGTGATACAATGAATTACATTAATTTAATTAAGTAAATAAGTAATTAATTATAATTAAATGCCAGTATGACACACATCCCTATGACTATACGCAAACAAAATTTATAAAAGATCAAAATTAGCACCAGAAATATTTTATATATACTGAATGAAGCAGGTATTTCAACTTGAAAAATCAGTCTACTGAGGCATCAAGAAAGCTGATCACAGAGTGGCACTAAAGATCAATAATAAATAGAATATTACTAAAGTATTAGAATCAGTGTGCACATGATGGGCACAAGGCACTAGAAAATTAAGACTGGATAGAATGGCAAAAGCGTCTGAGACTTTATCCAGTGCCCCTATAGCCCATGGGAGCTCACTTCTGAGGATACTCAATAGACAAATCCCAAGAACCCACATCCTGTAGGAAGAACAAACCCGGCCTCCGTGCTTCAAGGAGAAAGATGGAGTCAAGAAGAGAGACAGAGTACAACATTGTCTCCCAGAGGAACAAATTCCATCCCTGCATCCAGCACATATTTTATAAACACAAGAGGGTAAGGTTATCAGGCCTGAACACAGCTAGATGAGAAGGACAGACACTTGCCTAGACCAGGCAGCTAACTGCTTGGAGTGCTGTGCTCCCCCCTCCACCCCACTTAGGTTTTCTGAGTCTTTATAGACAGAGGTCCTAGCTGGTTGCTACTTTGCCAGGAAACCCTCAGAACTGCCCACTCTAGAAAACACAACAGGAAGCAAGATTTCAGGGTTTCCAGGAGCACAAACTCCAGCTGCAGACAAACAGACACACGTCCACAGGATTGGAGATCTCTCAAGACAAACGGTCAGTGGGCCAGCTGGAGTGTTAGTCTAGATTAGAGCTCCTCCCTTCACCTCATTTATAAGCTCATGCAATGATACCTCTCTATAAATCTAGCTGCCTTCTGTCTTCAGGATTCTTCTCTCTCCTCAGCCTCCTAGGAGTTCCTCATTCTCTCTGGTCTCTGTTCCCAGCTTACAACCACCATGAAGGCTTTCTGGCTTCTGTTGCTGACATCCAGCCTCCTCTCCCTGATGGTCACAGGTAAACACCATCACCCACTAAAGCAACTCCCAAGGGCAAGGGAAATACTGAGGAGGGCTGAAGAATGCTGCTTTGTAGGCCAGAGAGAGAATTAGGAGAGCTTCTCTGGATGCAATGGCTGAAATTGATGCCCTTAATGTCTATAAACTATACCATGGGCACCACAGGTCTGATCATGGTACGGATGCAGGGCTTGTCACTGGCAGCTCCCAGCAGCTCATCATGTGTCTATGTCATAAGTATGAAGGAACTGTATCCTGTGGGGAGAGGCACCCACTATGTTTGCTCCAAGTGAAATGCCACTGCTTCCCCCACACGGCTTGTCAGCCGGTCTTACAGCTAACTAGATGGTCTGGTAATCAGGTAAGCCTTTACTGTGGCAACAAAGTACATTTTCCAATGAGGAGATCTCCTCTTGTACAGAGAGCCTAGCCTGGCTTTGTATCACAACAGAGATGCCATTTCTACGAGCCAAAGTTGTTCCTGATAAGGGAGGAGCAGAAATCTTACAACAGGGATTAAGAAAGCATTTGAACCAGGCAGTGTAGCCCACTAATCCCAGCACTTAGGCAGGGACGCAGGACAGAGGCAGGGGTAGGGGCCAGGGCAAGAAGCTCTCTGAGTTTAAGACCAACCTGGTTTATATAGTGAGTTGCAGGACAGCCAGGACTACACAGACAAACACCAACAGAACAGATCTCAACTTCTGCACTGTCACACACTCGTTTCCTGCCTTTGTAACTTCATCCCTGAAATAGGGGTCCTCTAGGAGGAACCAGGGCTGGCAAAATTTATGGAAAAAAACCCTTATTATTCTTGTCTGCAGGCTATCACTTTATCTTAGAGACTTGCCTTATATTTATAGCAAATATATTTGTCCGAGTTTTCCTTTCTGAAGCCCCTTGATCAAACATCAAGGTTTTTCAGGGGTTTGGTTGTGGCTCATTGGAGAGGTAATCAGCTTGCTGAATTGAAATGTTTAGGAACTGGTAATCTTCAGTGTGTGCTGAGCACTAAAGTACATGCCGTTTAGTTTATCTGGATTTGCAGTGCATGTGTGTGTGTGTGTGTGTGTGCGTGTGCTTTGTTTCACTGAGAAAGACTTGTCATTCCTTTCATGTTACAAAGTAATTATTAAAACAACCTTTTTTTTTCTCATAGAATATTTTCATCTGCTAGCTGTCAGCTTGTTTCTGAGTTCCTTTCCTTTGAGAAAGAACAGAAAAGAACATCCTGGGTAGGAATAGCCGCATGTTCTCATCCATCCTAAGAAAGGAACTGGTGTCCAGGGACATAGGCATTAAGATTGCTGCATTTGTTAGATGAATTGGACTCTAGTTTTCTCTTGTTTTGTTCTTACTGGATTCTGGTATCAGAATTAACGCTGCTTTCAAAAAAGGAATTTGCTAGGGTTTCTTGCCCTTATGTTTCATGGAAATTTTTGAGGAACACTATTTGTATATTTCTTTAATTCTTCTTTAAAGATCTTGTACAAGTAAGCTGTGTGTTCACCCTGCCCTAGTGGTGTTTTCCTGATGGAAAAGCTTTTAACATCATTTCAGTTTCTTGCTTTTTATAGATCGACCTGTTTGAGTTGTTTATAGTCTCTGAATTTAATCTGGGTCGATGAGATTTGCCTATGAACGTATCATTTCCTGCAGGTCCCTATTTACTTTTTTTGGAATAAAACTTTACAAGGTATTTACTAATCTATTCTAACACTACCCTTTCCATCTCTTATTTTATTAGATTAGGATGTGAAATGTGTTCTTTTATTTCTGTTGTCTGAGAACAATAAATATTGATTATCTTTTAGAAAATGCAAAATTATGTCTTTTTTACTTTTCTGTGTTTCTCTTTACTCTTCAGTTCATTAAATCATAAGCCTGCTTCAGAACTCATAATTTTTCAATCTGCTGAAGTTACGTTTAGCTCATTCTCATTTTTCTAAGATGTTGTTAGAGATCATTTGATTTCTTATTTTAGATTCATCTGTTTTGTTTTAAAATGCAAGTACTCATATAAAATTTACTTTAGAGCTGTCTTAGCTCTATTCCAAAGTTTGTGGTCTGGTTTGTGGTATGTGTACGTTCATTTGAGTACAGAATTTTAAAATATCTATCCCATTTCTTTATCTGTCGTGAAGAATGTATTATTCTATTTCAGGCTGTCCATATAGATTTTACAGATTTTCTTGCTATAGATTTCTGGTTTTACAGGTTTTCTTGACATAGATTTCTGAGTGTGTCTATGATGCAGCTTAACTCTGAATGTTTTTCATGGACTTCACCCTAATAGAAGAGGTGTACTGAAATCACCTACTGATATTTTATATAGGCCCATATGTCCTTTTGTGTCCATTAATGTTTGCTTTATGAAATCAAGGTCCCCACTAGTTAATAAATACATATTTAGAACTATTATTTCTTCTTGATATATTAATCCCCTTATTAATATGTAGTAGCTTTCTTAATCTCTTTGACTGATTTTTTAATTGAAGTCAACTTTGTCAGATATTAAAATGGTTGATCCAACATTCATTTGCTCAATACTTTGACCTTCAACATTTCTTTTCCATCTGTGTGTGTGTGTGTGTGTGTGTGTGTGTGTGTTTGCTAGTGAGGTGTATTTCTTGGAGAAAACAGCAAGTTGCTAATCTGCATGGACCTAGCTAAGTACTTTCTAAGACTGCTCAATATAAAATTCTCAGCTAAATGAATATCAGCTCAACCTGAGTTTTAGAGTTCTCAGTTCCACAAATGGAAAGAAGCTATACAAGGAAAGGTAACTGTGGAAATCTTGTTAACAATAACCCAATAGCTTTGATTTATCAATCTCTGCAGTTATAGTCCCTCACGTCTAAGAAGGTGAAGAAAACAACCAGCAGTGTTTATAAAGTTACAATATATTTGGTGGTTTGTTTGTTTGTTTGTTTTTAAAGATAGAATGTCAAAACACATTCAAATGTGTTCCATTCTTACTCAATGACCTCCCATAATGCTGCAGGCATTTTACCAATTATTTTCTAAATATCCTTGCAATAATCAGAGATGCTGATTGTGGGCACAGAATCTGGAATTGAGATGTCTTATTAGTCTCGTTGACTATGGTGCTATCTGAAATCAATATTGTATCGAGGCTATTAACAGATACTACATACTAGGAGCAGGATGGCCAGGTTCAGGGTGATAGGAATCACTATGATCTACAGCAAAGATGAGAACTGGAAATCAAAAGGTCCTTTGTATGGACAACCTCGTATCCTTGACCTAGAATGTTTTCTTAGTAGGTAATAGGATAGCAGAAGTAGAATGTCTCTCCTTTCTCATTCATATCCAAACAGCATTGTCCACTTGAAAATTCTATGTTGATGATTATGTTCTATATTTCCATACCCAATGAAGCAATTCAGAGGGACATGTTTATATGGAGTTCCTTCATTTTTATAAGAAAAAAATCAATGTAGGGCATTTCTCCATGGCCAGGCCTAGCTGGAGTCACAGACACTTTTTTGCCTGTGCCTCCTGAGTGAACCATCACAGACTTACTCACAACACCACCCTAAGCCTAGGACCAGCTGTCCGCACACCTGTGTGCAGATCTTCCAGATGTATCACTCCACATCCTTGCCCCATTGCCACTCTAAGCCTAGGCCAAAACTAGGAGTCATACCATCATTCACAATGTCTGAGTGAGTAGCCTCAGACTACCCATAATAGACCCAGAAGGTGCTATGGAAACGGCCAGGAGAAAAAGTAATCAGTAGTTATACTCAGCTGTATGTTCTATGAGCCATAATAACACCTGATCTAAAAAGATATTCCCAATGGTGCAATAGTGGCAGTAATTTCTTGGGGGTAAACAACAGCTGTGTAATTGAACATAAGGCCCATTCTGTAAGCTGGAACTTACACCTCATGCTGTAAATCTAGGCTACAACACATAGATAGGAAGGTTATAGAACACAATACTGCCTTTGTATTAGTCAGGGTTCTCTAGAGGACAGAACATACAGAATGAATATATATGACTATATATCTGATATCATCACATATACATATACATTATTTATTAGAATGGCTTATAACTTGTAATCCAGCTAGTACAACAATGATGTCATGTTAATAATAATTAGCTCAAGAATCTAGTAGTTGCTCAGTAGATGTTGGATGTCTCAGCTGGTCTTTGGGGTACACCAGAATTTCAAAGTAGTATGCTCTAATGCCAGGAAAGTAATGGACTTGCCAGTGACAAGGAGAGTAAGCAGACAAAGAAAACAAACTTCCCTCTTCCATATCCTTTACACAGGCTGCCAGCAGAAGGTATGACCCAGATTAAAAGTGGATCTCTCCACATCTGAATTAAAAGTGGGTCTTCATGTTTCAAATGATTTAATTAAGAACAATTCCTCACAGATGTATCAAGATGCTTGGATTTTAGTTCATTTCAGATGTAGTCAGGATGACAACCAAGAATAGCCATCACAGCCATTTCCATAAAGCAATAAAGCTTCCAACAGTATTCTAAACACTTATCCTTATATCCAAAGATATAAAGCAGCTGACAAGGCAACTACAGAGGCACAAGTGTACAAAATGTTGAGTGTGGGCTTTCCAGCCCTACTTGAGCCATTGACAACAAAAATCTCTCTGCCTAATCCCAGGGGACCTCATGGAAAAAAAGGGCAGAAAGATTGTAAAGTCAACAGAATGAGGATGCATCTGTGAGACGGTCACTTTGGTACCAAAGAAAAGCTGCACCCTTAATATCTCAACTATGTGGCTTCTGGCACAAGACCAATACAATGACCATACTGACACACTTGACAACATGAACAAAGGAAACCCCACAAGCCCCCACCACTAGATGAAAACTAAAGGAAATTAATGTCTATTGGAGTCAGGGTTACAATAAATTTTCTCCAGGGATAAACTCCATGATAGCTTATCCAAAACTGTGTGGTCAATCCTAAACCTGGGAATATACAGGCAACATAAACTAGACTCACTATAGTAATAATTACAGAAGAGATCATGAATTCTAATGGGAGTTGTAGGGTCATGGGACTATTAGGAGACAAGAAAGGGTTGGAAGGACATAAAATAGTATACAAATATATGAAAATATTTTAAAATTTAATATTAAAAGATGTTTCAGTTCATTTAAGTGTGGATAGATCTGTGTATCTAGTGGCCGGGAACAAAGCAAGAACCATGAGGACAGCTTTGATCTCAGTTGGACACTTAAGGTATTTTTGTAATTTTTCCATTCCACAAACATTTGAAAACATACATACAAATTCAACTCCTCCATAGACAAATGCACAAAATTCTGAAGGGAGAGAAAGTAGTCTCCTAGAGTAATGGAAAAGATTTTTGAGTGAACTACTACAAATTTGGGAGTACGTTCAAAAGTAATTAGACTGTATTCTAGTTTGCTTTGGCTGTCAACTTGACATACCCTAAAGTCATCTGAGAGAAGAAAAGCCTAGACAACATTGGCCCGTGCTCATGCCTATGGCAACTGTCTTCACTGACAACTGATGGAGGAGGGACCCAGTCCACTGTGGGGAGTACCAAGCCAGTGGTTCTGACTGTCTAAGCATAAGCCAGCCTGGGAGCTATCCTTCAGCACTCCTCCTTAGTCTCCATTTCATGTTTAAGCTTCTCTTTATGCCCTGATTTCCATCAAAGGTGGATTATAACCTGAAACAAACTTTGCCCTTTTTTATATTTTCATTCCTTTCTTCCTTCATTCATTCATTCATTGAGGCAGGATCTTAGTATGTACCCCTGGATGGTGAAGAATTCCCTATGTAGGACAAGTCGGCATTGAACTCACTGAGATCCATATTCCTCTGACACCGAAGGGCTAGGTTTAAAGGTGCACACCACAATGCCCAGCCTCAAAGTTGCTTTTCATCTGAGGGTCTTACCACGGTAGCATATTGGAAAAATCAGAGGAAGAACATTTGAATGGAAGTTCCTAACAACACAATTTTAGTAAGAGTAAAAATATTTTCCAAGCTTATCAGAGTGATACAGTGTACTTGACTTTAGGTTGAGCTGTCCCTCAGGACAGGGATGGCCTAGTTTGTTGATCTCCTTGGGGTGGTACAGTAAATGTCACAGACTCCAAGCTCCTCACATTTCTGAGTAGTTGAAGCCTAAGGCCAAAGTGACAGCAGTTTTGGATTCTGCTGAGGAATGTCTCCTCAACTTGCAAGTTGTATCTTCTCTCTGCATTCCCAATCAACTTATCCCTATGTGACTCTATCTACATTTCTTTTCACAAAGACACTATAAACCCTGATAGCTTCCTCACATCCCATTTAATATCATTACTTCTAAAGGGTCTAGCTCCAAACAGTCAAATTCTTGGGAACAATGTTGCTGAGATAGGAAAAATGAAAATGTTAGGAGCTATTGAAAGAACAGATTAGTGCAACTACTACTATAGAAAACTGTTCATTACTGGGACTCTCTTCTAAAAATATAATGCAATGCAAATGCATGGGTACCAATCCTAGTACTTTGCATGCGAGAGAAGTCAAACTCATATGCCAAAGACACATTGGCATTCTAATGTTCATAATAGTACTGAGAAACTCCAATGACTAGAAGCAGAGCAAGAATAGAGCCTGGAAGGTGGATTTGACATAGGATTGAGGCTATTCCCACTTAGGGCCATCATGGACAGATTGAGCAGAAATCAGAGTGATACAGGCAATGTCTATGAGCTGGAAACCAGCCAAATAGGTGTTCCATCTAAAGTTCTTCTCCCAGCAGAGGATGAGGTGGGATTATCAGAGTGTCTGCTCAAAACAAAGAAATGTTAGAATGAAATTATTAAAATCATTTAACTTCCTTATGACTAGACTCACTGTAAAAAAAAAATTAAATAAGACCCTGTGTAGAAGTTACTAAGTGAGCAATTTTAATCCAAATAAAACATCTTCCAACACATAGTCACACAGTGTTAAGATACCATTTCTCCCAGGGTGGATATGGCCTGTTGTTTTAGTCTGTTCAGGTTCCTGTCACAAAGTGTCACACATTAAGGGTCTTCCACAGTAGATAGTCATTTTCTTTTCATAGTACTAGAAAGTTGAAAGTTGGCACTACAACTTTAGCTGCTCATGTGATCCCTCCACTTGGTTTCTTAGTGACATCTCTCCCTTGTATCTACACTCAGCTTTTTCCTTTGCAGCTATCTGAATATTCTCAAGAAGGGCACCAGCCATCCTCTATTTCTTCCCAGGATGGTCTTATTTAGCTACCATGAACTGTTTCAAAACTCTAGGACAATTACTGCCACATTCTGAGATACTGGGTTTTCAGGTACATAAAAGCCAAGACTAGTGTATTATTTACTTTCCAAATAATGAGAACTGTAGAAGAAAGAGTTTATTTGTGTTTATGGTTATATAAGGACATAAAAGCCTGTCCTGGCCTGGAGGCCTCACAGCAAGCAGCAGATATGGTGGCTATAGCAGGGTCCTAAGAGGTTATATCGAATAGTATAAGCATGAAGAACTAGGAGTATGATGAGACCTTAAAATGCCAATACAGGCCACCAGTGACATACTTCCTCCAATGAGTAGGTATAAAACTCCCCAAAAGGAGCTATCATAAAGACCAAGTGTTAAAATACAGGAAACTATGGGGGGAACATCTCTCGTTCAAATAACCATGAGTCATGAAGCAAGGTGGTAGGGGCATGAACAGAAGCAGATGGAAAGTGTCCTGCGGCCTGCTAGAACAAAAGACTTATCTCTCCCACTCCCGCCCCTCTGCATGGGTTTTGGCTTACACAATGAGTCCAGAATTTCAAGAGACACGTGGAGATTTAAGATGCGTTGATTTATTAACATAACAGCGGGTTTGGGTGGTGTAGAGCTTTCCCTAAAAATGTCAGAATGGGTTTGCTTATATTAGAAGCTGGGGAGAAAGGTGGGGCCAGGGAAATCTTGAGGCAGAGACTTATTCCCCTCGCCCTCTACTTGGGACATGGAGACCTCGTGGCAGGGCTCTAGGGATGTGGCCGAACACCCAGGATTCTACAGTCCCACAGTCTAACTGTAGAAAACTGATGTCATCGTAGAGTAAACATAATTTCATCCTGATAGGAAAGGACGGCAAGTTCCAGTAGAACGAGGGTTAGAGAGGTTGAAGAGCTGATATTCATGATATAAGGGCCAATCTAACTAAAGACAGAATGTGAGTAGATGTGTCAAGTTCTCACAGCCACAGATTCTCCTGAAGCATTTGCAAACTGAAAACAAAAAAAAAAAGTCACTTTTGCATTGTGGTAGAACGAGCTTAAAAATGATCAGGGGTCATTATTTGATCTCCCTGTACATCTCAAGGCCTCTCAGTAAAAGATAACCATGTTCAGAGTTTTGCTGCTCTGCCTAACTAGTGAGCCTGTTCACAGGTCTGCTTCTCTTAATCGTCTCCTAGTTTGATTATCCGGGAAGGGAAAATTCTCTTGTGAGCTTTTCAGATCAGTGTCTCTTATCCTCAACAAACGTACTAAAGTCATTGTACACACAGCTAAAATATACTAATATCTGTGTTCTCTCCTTTCAGGTGTTGACAGTCACCCCGATACAGTTCACGCCAGGTTCAAATGTATACCAAAAATAGCAGCCGTTTTTGGCGACAGTTGCCCTTTCTATGGCAGCGTGGATGGCCTCTGTAATAATACGAAATCTGTATGCTGCATGGTTCCTGTGAGACTGAATAATATATAGAGCACTGAAGCCATATGGAGAACATTTTACCACTGTTTCAATAAAGTAAAACTTCCTTTGAAAAAAAAATGCTTTTGTCAGAAAAAAAATTCAGTCCCGTGTCTCTTTTTGAAATAAGTTAATAAATGAGGAGGTGAAATATGAGTCTTGGAACCAAACAAGAGCCAGTGGACTCAACCTTCTCATAACAAAGGAAAGATGACAAGGCATTAAATAGTATCTTTTCAAATTCAGGTTATCTTTAAACCAACATGGGGGCAATCTTGGGGTTGGTGGGGTTGGTGTTGACTCAAGAGGGATTCCAGGAGCCATCTAGGAGAAGCTAAAAACTAGCAAATGATTTTCCTGAGATGGTTCCACTATGGACTGTAACACTAAGATGGATTTACACCTTAAAGCAAAGCCTTGGAGATTGTATTTGAGGAAAGATTTCTGCTGTTAATATGCTTTTCATATATATATATATATATATATATCACGTTATTACCCCAGTCTTTTGAGCAGATTTCTGAAGAACAACAAAGATGTACTGTTTTCTGTTGATGCTATATGTACACAAATAGATAATTTCTTAATTTTTTTTTTTTTTTTTTTTTTTT